AGCCACGAGGAAGTCCGAGAAGGAGGGCGAGCAAGGACGAGAGACGAGCAAGGAGAAGGAGGGGCGAGGAGGGAGGGATGAGGGAGGAGGAGGAGAAGAATGTGGAGGAGGAGGAGGAGGAGGAGGAGGAGGAGGGGCGTGTGTGAGAGACGAGAGGCGACCGTCGAAGGAAGGGAGAAGGAGGACAGGGCCGAGGGAGGAGGACATGGAGGGCGTGGTATGCACGCGGCATGCGACCCAGTGAGGTCCCTTGCGGGGATGTGGCCCATGTGGGGGCGGAGGGTTGGGGGGGGGGGGGGGCTAGACCGAGGAGGCAGGGGAGGGGAGGGGATGGGACGCGGAGGTTGAGGAGGGAAAGAAGGAGGGTACTGCGGGGGCGCGGAGCAGGGGTCCAGAACGGGGCGCAGAGGAGGGTTGGGAAGAGGGGCAAGAAGGGAAAGCTCCTCCCTGCGTCCTCCCTCCGAAGGGGGGCGGATGGGAGGGGAGGGCGGGACTGAGGGCGAGAGGAGTGTGTTTTTAAGTTGATCTGCAGTCACATCTTTCGTCTCCTCGTGGCCCACTGGTCAGGCCCTGGCCTTGACTCCTCATCCGCGCACTCGTCCTCCCGCCTTCCACAACCTTCTCATCGTCATCCCTCCTGCGCTCCCCGTGTCCTCCGGAGGGGAAGAGGGGGAGGATGAGCAGGGGGAGGGAAAGGGGGAAAGAGGAGGAGCAAGAGCAAGAGGAGGAGGAGGAGGAGGAGGAGGTGGAGGAGGAGGAGGAGGAGGACTCCACTACCCTCTACCTCTCCTCACCCTCTCTTCTATCCCTCCTGGGGCTGCCCAGGGCACCCAGTTCTCTCGACCCACACCCTCCCCCCTGCCATACCTCCTGTACCTTCCATCCCGTCCATCCCTCCTTCACCTCCCCCCCATCCTTCACGTCCCCTCCCATACCTTCCATCCCATCCATCCCTCCTTCCCCTCCCATACCTTCCACCCTCCTTCACTTCACTTCCCCATCCCATACCTTCCATCCCATACCTTCCATCCCATCCATCCCTCCTTCACTTCCCCTCCCATACCTTCTATTCCATCCACCCCTCCTTCACTTCCCCTCTCATACCTTCCATCCCGTCCATCCCTCCTTCGCTTCCCCCCTCGCCTCCTCCCAAGAATAACCGGCCAGCGGGGCGGTACAGTGCAAGACCTTTGGGATCGAGGCGTGCCTAGTCAGGCCCGCGGGTCCTTACACCCTCTCCTAGTTGGGGTCCGGCTCGGGCACCCTTCATGTGTCCAACCTTGCAGGAACCGGTCTTGAACCCCACTGTGAATCCGGGCTGACCCCCCCGAGTCGTCAGCTTTGCCTCGCCCGGCCTGATCCTTGCCGCACAGCCGCCGCCCTCCTCTGTGTCCTCCTCCCTCCGTTGCCCATCCTCTCGCCACCGTCTTCCTTGCGTCCGCCGTCGCCGTCGCTTTCGATGCGAGGGCGAGCTGCTTTGGTACCGTCTCCACCGCAGCAACTGCGAGACTTTCGAGATGACTGCCTCCGAGGCGCTCTCTCTCTCTCCTCTTCCCTCCCGCAGGAGAGGGGAGGAGGAGCAGGAGAAGGAAGAGGAGAAGTATGGGGAGAGGAGGATCGAGGTGTTTGGGCGCTTGGGACCCTTTGCGGGCCTCCAGGGGACCTCCAATGTCCCTCGGGGCTCCGGAGACCTCAGGAAATCCCACGAGGCCTCGCAGGGCCGCCTCTGAACTAGGAGCAGGGAGAGGAACAGGAGGGAGGAGGACCAGTGTAAACCCAAGACGCATCAACGAGAATGCAATAAACCCTCCCTCCAAGTTTCTTCTTCATAGGCACCTACAAGGATCTGTTTTCATTTAGGGGAGTGTCCCGTTGGAAGGCAAACGTTTGCAAATCCTGAGCTGTGCCAGAAAGCCAGTCCTTCGACTCAACGCCGCGAAACAACGCTACTGCTGCGTCTTGATTATCCAGAGTCGTACCAGACAGCACCATTTCTGGGATTCCAACTCCACATAGCAACGAAATTGTCGCGCCCGACATCGTGCCAAATTATTATTTTGAGTATGTAGGCCATGAGAACCTTTCAAATGTGTTACGAACGTTCAAGGCGAATGTGCACGGCGCTTAGGCGAGAGCCACATTTTGAAAACGGCCCGCCCTCCATCCGTGAAGTTGTTGCAAATTTCAAGTTTCAGGATCATTCATAGTGAGGAAGTCTCAGGCGAAACGCCCGGCCCGCCCTTGCCTCCGGCTTCGGGGTGGGAAGGGGAGGAGTTACTTGCAAGGAAAAGGAATGGAGGAGGAGGAGGAGGAGGAGGAGGAGGAGGAAGTCGATGCCGAGGATGGCGACGGCGAAAGCGAGAACGACCACCAGGAAAGTCTGCTGGGGTGCTCCTGGCGTTCCCCTTCGCCCCTCGGTTGCGGCAGCACGGGTCATGGCCTGCGGCCCCGTGGGGCAGCTTGGCCCAGGGTACCGCGCATCAGCCCTCAGGCCGCCCCCCCCCCCCCCCCCTTCCTCTGCAATAGACACGTGCGCACCCCTCCCCTCCACTCCTCGCTCCTCTACCACCTTCCCTCTCTCTCACGCGCTGCGAGGACCGTCGCAGGCGGCCCCGCCTGCCTCTCCTTCTCTTCCTCTGTCAAGCCAGTCTCCTCATCCAGACTCACTCAGCGATGGCCTCACCTCATCTCATCCCCCCTCTCCCCTCCCCTCCAAGCCCTCCAACCCTCCAACCCTCCCCTCCCATCCTCCCCTTCCCAACCCTCCCCTCCCCAGCCCAACCCTCCCCTCTCCAACCCTCCCCTCCCCGACCTCCACTGCTCTCTCCTCCCCAACCCTCCTCTCCCCCCCTCCCCTTCCCCTTCAAGCCTGCCCTGCCCTGCTCATCGTCTGGCCTCCCCTCCAGCGAGGCCTCGGGATGGGACAGACTCGGGTCGTCTGAGCGCCGCACTTGCACACCTGAGAACCTCCTGGAGTGCAAAAGCGGAGAAGGACAGGAGAGAAGTAGGCCTCAATGTTGTCTGGTCCTCTTCTGGGCCCCTTCAGGCCATCTTGGGGGAGGGATGGGGGAGGGGGCCGAGAAAGGACGAGCACCACATCGACGAGAATGGAGGAAGAGGTGGAGGAGAAGGTGATTATGACGCGGGACGGGTAGGGTCACAGACAAGGTGATTACCGGTGGAGGAGAATCTAGATCAGGAGTCTGACGACAACGTCTGCGAGGGCAGAAATATCGAAGGAAAGGGCGGCGTGCCTCAATGTTTTGATTGCGGTGATTATGGGTACACCTCGAGGGAATACCACAGGGGCAAAAGAAAAGGAGGACATGCAGGAGTGAAGGATTACGGTCGAGTACCGTGCAAGGAGCCAGCAAGGGTTACGGCAAGAGCACGCACAGCGGCGGCAGCAAACAATACAGAAATTGCCCGTTTGATGCGGGGCGAGCGGGGGCATGGGGGGGGGCACAGCGCCCCCAGCAAGGGAGGCGACGCAAGCGGATTCGCTCCGAACAGGGACAGATCTTGTCACCACTGGAGATCAGGGGCGTCGGAGGTGAAGGGGTGAGATCGCAGTGGAACGGAGAGCCCCCCCCCACACCGGGAAATGGGCTGCGATTTGCGGGCGAGGCGAAGATGCGTGGGCGGGCGAGAAGACCGAGCCCTCCTCCGGCTGGGGCGCCTCTCGGCCAGCGGTGGCCGGGGGTGTTTTGTCGGTGTCCCTCTGTGAGATCGACAGTGAGATCTACAGTCAGAACGATGGTGAGATCGATAGCGAGATCTATGATGAGATCGGTAGTGATTTCGATAGTGGGATCGATGAGTGAGATCGACGAAGTGAGATCGATTGTGAGAACGATAGTGATGTCCCGTCAGTGCTCCGTAACGGGATCGATAGTGAGATCGATAGTGGGATCGTTAGTGAGACCGATAGTGAGATCGATAGTGGGATCGATAGTGAGATCGATGGTGAGATCGATTGAGTGAGACGTTGGTCCCTCCCCCCTGCCGCCGAACCTCCTTATCACCCGAGGGGTGGTTGTATAGGTATTGCCGCTAACTGCCCCAAGCATAATGGAGCAACCGATTCGCAGCAGGGCAGCCAGCAGCAGCCACAATGTCAACCGCATTATTTAGGACGGGTTCAGGCATTCATTTGTGAAACCACACAGGTTCTAACCCCACCTGTCGGCGATTGCGGATGTTGGCAGCAGCAGTGCCATGAGAGGGCGATAGCTGGGATTTTTGCCGAGAGACACCAGCCAGAAAGGCGCACAGAAATCATTAGTAGAAATGAATAACCCTGCGAGCGAGTCGAGTGGCTCGTCCAAAGAATACCAAAAGGTGATCACGGAGACAGTTGTAGTTGCCGTTGGTTCTCGGGTACGCCATCTCCGTAGGCCCAACCATGGATGGAGCTGACTTCCCAGCTAAGCCGATTGGGGCGCCAAACCAAGCAAGCGCCACAGCGCCGCAAACAGGTATGTTATCAGGAACCGCGGGCAGAGCGGGTAAGAACGGGCAGATGTAGATGGTTGGCGTGCCGATATTATACAAAGGGCAAGTCGTCCTTGACGTTTTGTTTGGGGAGCTGTCCTGACTCTTGCGAATCCTTAGCCGTCGTCATGATAATGTCAACCGTTCATTTCGGTACGCGGCCGCCTCTTGGTGTGATGACAAGATTTAGGTGCTTCGTGAGGCCTTTGCAGAAACCCTCAAAATTCTAATTGACATCGATGTCGTGCACAGCTTCAGTTCACTCAGGTAATATGAGAAACATTCCAGTCGGGACTCTTCTACCGATTTCGATTTGGGATTGCACTCGAGTCGATGTTTACGCTTGCGCATACGGCCCCTTGGCCATCATCCAAGGCAAGCGCACTAGCCGTGCCGCAAGGCTCAAGGCAGGCTTCAACGGAGTTTGCCGCCCGCCAGCCGAGGCAATATAACATTGTCATCGCCATTATCCGCCCTCCTTCCGTACGGTCGGACCGAGGTATAAGATCGATGTCGGTTCGGGGAGGGTACCCAAATGTTCTTCGTGTGTTGTTGGATGTTCTTGTGCATCCTGGAGGAAGGTACCCTCGAATGTTCTTCAGTCTGGCCTACGTAGGGTGACGCATTCTTGAACGATGTTCTCCTGTCCTAGGTCTGGCCGTAGCCGTTTTGGCTCAAGCAGTTCGGGCTCGCTCTCTGGCAAATCGACAAGCGCCAGCACTTGGTCCAGCGGCTTCAGAAGCCCAAGCCGCAGATGGCCGTGCTCCTCGGCCTCGCCTCCGGCGCCGCCCCCGCGGCCACGTTCCCAAACAGCCACTTGCTGGAGCCTCGCGCGAGCCGCGGCGCTTGGGCGCCCCCGCAGCGGCAGTGCGTGCTCAGCGAGCTCCGCAGAGCCGTGCAGGAGGAGGACTGGGCCCGGAACCACGCCGAGGCTGTCACGAAGATCCACATGCAGGCCCAGTGGTCGGCGAGCCCGGAGAGGTGCGCGGTGCTGCAGACGCTGGCGTCCGCGTCAAGGGCCTGGCGCGCGCTGGAGATCGGCAGTTTCTGCGGGGCCGCGGCGCTGGCGCTGGCAGAGGCGCTGCCAGCGGGCGGCGAGGTGCTGGCCCTGGAGCTGGACGAGTACGTGGTGAGCTTTGCCAAGCGCTTTCACGCGCGGAGTCCCAGCGGCCACAAGGTCAAGCACATGGTCGGGCCCGCAGTGGCGTCCCTCCAGGAGCTTGCGGACGCGGTCGCGGCGGGGAAGTGCGAGCCTTTCGACTTCGTCGTGGTGGACGCCGACAAGGAGTGCATGAAGCAGTACTTCGACCAGCTGTGGAACACCCCAGGGATGCTCAGCAAGGATGCCGTCGTCTGCGTCGACCTCACCCCGTTCAAGGGGCAGCCGCCGCTGCGCTACCTGAAGTATGGGTTCCCCTACCAGTACGAGGCCGAGTCGGGCCAGAAGGCCATCGACGCGCTACGCGCGAGCATTGCCGCCTCGTCGAGGTTCGCCGCCTACGAGTTCGGACAGCTGCTGGTGGTGCAGGAGAGCCGCGGCCCGTGAGCAGCTCCCCGCCGCGCCCTGGCCAGGCGGGCAGCTCCCCCCATCGCTGGGGCAGGGCACCTGCAGCCAAGGCCCCCGACACACGGCGGGGGCGCTGGCTACGGAGTGTGCCCAGGAGGCTTCGGACCTCGGGGGGGTCCTTGGCTGATGGGGGGCGGCGGTGGTATTCACGGCCAGGCCTTGGGTCTGGCAGGTCCCTCTACATGAGCAATCGTCAAAAATAGTCGGGGACGATGTTTCGACTATTTTTCACCATGTTTGCTCACTTGTTTGACTATGTTGAATTATTCCTTCAAGATCCGCCTGTAGGAAGACGTGCCCGACCTCAGCCAAGCCTCTAGTGGCGTTCCACAGGCTTCCAGACCCTGGAGTCCTCATCCGAGGGATCCATATCTCGGCGGCGAGCGAGGGGGGGAAGTCAGAAGGGGCGCGCCTTCTCAGAAGGCTCGGAAGTCCCCGGGCCTCCTGAGAAGTTGTCTCAAGCGTTCCCCGAAGACACAGGAAACTCCTCGGAAGGCGCGAGGGCCTCTGAGAAGTCCCGTCGCCTTCTGAGAAGGCCTTCTCCTTCTCACCTCCCCCCCTCGCTCGCCGCCAATTACAGTCAAGACGCTGAAATAAGGAACAGTTTGGGTTCGGAAGGGGCTCGATGTTCCTTAGGTTCCTCCAGTGCTGCTCCTTTTGCCCTCCTGGGGCACGGAGGCGCTCCCAGGGCCAAGAGGTGGCTTCGTTCCTCATGTAGCCCCGGGCCCCCCCCCCGCTCCTCGCTCGGCCTCTCCTGCTGGTGGCACGATGCTCGGCATCGCTCGGACGTGTGCATTTTTTTCGGCGAGGACCATCCTGGACCGTCGAGCGAAAAAAAAATAGCCAGGCGACAGACCCGCAATTGTGAATATCTTCTTCGTTGGCGCTCCCTATGGGGCCACGAGACGCTGTACTGGGTGGGCGAAACGCAGGGAGCAAGGGCCGTGTTGGGTGGTGGCGGACGCATGCGGGCGGTGCCACTGGGACCTTCCGTGGAGCTCCTTGAAGTGGCGGATTTCCCAATTCCGAGGGCCAGCGAAGGGAGGCCAGCGAACTCGGGCGCCGCCAGGCGGCAGCAGGCAAGACAAGCACGGGAGGTTGTGGAAAGGTCCCCTGGCCGGCAGCGGATTGTGCTCCAAGCCGTGCCACAGCAGGCGTGAAACTCGTCAGCGGTCACCTCGCAGGATTTCAAGACTGGTTGCGTGGCGGTGCGATTTCATACTCAAGCCTCAAAGCTCCACATTACAGAAGTTAATGCTGGACCCGTGATCGGTGAGCAGACCCATTCTCCTGGTCTTTCTCCCTCTCCTTTCACTTCCCTCTTCCTCTGCACTCTCATGCAACTTCCTTCCAAGTTGTTTTTCCTGTTCGCGGACCTGTACATACGTAAAGGTCGAGGAGACGACCACCGAAAACATATGAAATGATTTCAAGTCGCCGGGTTGTTTGCATCGTTGCTTGTTGCAGCGACTAGTAACACTGCTGCACACTGAAGCGTTGAGCTTTAATTTTGTTGGCCCTAAGACCTGCCGAGCCAGATGCATCACGATCACGTTAGTTTGTCTTGCAGGAGTCGTGTGTTGTGCGACGCGGTTTGGTGAAAATGTTTGGTGCTCGGTGTTCAGCATCCCTTGTCATTCTCTCAGGTTGCACAGACATCGGCGGGATGTCCTCTGCGTATCAAGACTACTGCTCAATCGTCAAAACCTAGATCAGAGCAGTGGAGCGCGGTGAACGGCAGGCCAGAGGCCAGCAGCGGCGCAAGCGCGAGCGGGTGGATGGGACAAACAATTGGGACCAAACAATTTAGAGCATGGCGGTGCGTCTGTGTAGGGCAAGGTGGCCCGCACCGAGGGCCAAGAAGGGGCTTGTGTACCGATGCACTTGGCGTAAGAGTGCACACTTGATGGATTGACTGGCTACGACCACTTCAGAGGGCCCCGACCACCCTCCCAACAGTCCAACGCTAACTCCTAGCCTCCCCCACCTAAGCCGACGGCCCACCTAACTCCTAGCCTCCCCCACCTAACTCCTAGCCTAACCGAGGAGGAGGAGAATGATGATGATGATAGTGGTGGTGATGACGATGATGACGGCGATGAAGATGAAGATGAAGATGAAGATGAAGATGATGATGATGATGATGATGATGATGATGATGATGATGATGATGATGATGATGATGAGTATGATGATGACGACGATGATGACGACGATGATGACGACGATGATGATGATGATTATGATGATGAGGATGATGATGATGCTGATGATGATGATGATGATGCTGCTGATGATGATGATGGTGATGGAGATGGTGATGGTGATGGTGATGGTGATGGTGATGACGATGATGACGATGATGACGATGGTGACGATGATGACGACAACGATGATGAGGATGAGGAAGCTGTAGAAGTAGAGGAGGAGGAGAACGATGGTGTGAGAAATCTGTGCCAATCACAGGCCCTCGTGGAACTGCGATTGTAAAATGGGACCTCAGTGTCGCAACGGCAACGCAGACGGCTGGAAATAATGTAATGATCAGCAGCTCTTGCCGCAACGCTTGCTTTGCATGACCGAGGGTCGATTGTTTTAATTACCAGCTGAGCGAAAGGGGAAACGTTGCCCTCACGTAGGGTCGTCATTGAAATGCTGCAGCCTGCACCTTCACCTCCTCAATCCTTCGACCACCCACTTCTCCTCCACGCGGTGACGGGCCCTCGGCCCGTGCACAGCTGTCAGCATGTTCTGGCCGCCAGCGCCGCGGCTGGGAGCTTCCACGATCGAGGCCAGATCGGTCCTCTCCACACATCCTCCCCTCATCTCATCCGCGATCCTCCTTGCTTCTGCAGGGCGCCGGCCTAGATTCGAGCGCTTGACGTGCCCAAAAGGGACGCTCAAAGTACTGGCGGCTTGTACTTGTGAGCTGACGGTCGAAAGAGCGCTTTCTGCCGTTGCTGGCAGGGGGGGTCAAACCCCACCCCAGGAAAATTATTCGGGGGGTCCAGGGACCCGCCCCTCGGGAAAATTATTAGAGGGGTCCAGAGCCCCCCCCGGCAACGACGACGACGAGACCGACGACGACGACGACCACGATGACGACGTCGCCGCCGCTAGCAAACGACCACGACGACGCACGACGACGACGACGGCGATGACGACGACGACGACCCCGACGCCGACGACGACGACGACGACGACGCAAACGCCGACGCCGATGCTGACGCCGACGCCAACTTCGACGCAGACACCGACGACGCCGATGACGACGAAGACGAAGACGGTTACGACGACGACGACGACGACGACGACGATCGAGGCCTAGTGGGATGCGATCACAGCTGGATCGAGCCCTAGTGAGATGTTTTATATCTAGATCGAGTCTTAATATGATGTTTTTAGAGTCGGGTCCAGCCCGAACAGAGTTCTATTAAAAGATATACCAGCCCCGAGTAGTATTATGTTAGAGATGGATCAACTATCGTCAAATAAATGGCATGCATGCTGAATCGGGCTCTGGAAAAGTTCATCCGACATGTATACAGCCTGGATATGACTCTTCAGAACTGGATCCAGCCGTGTTAGGATTGCATTAGAGTTGGATCCAGCCTTAGTAGGATTAGATTAGACTTGGATCCAGATCTAGTAGGATTCTGTAACTGCTGGGTCGACCCCTAGTGAGATTCTTCTAGAGCTGGGCTCGATCATTGTAGGATTCTATGTGAGTTGGACCGAACCCTGTTAGGAGTACATCAGAGCTGGGTCGAGCTCTAGTAGGATCCTAAGAGGGCTTGATCGGCCCCTGGAAGGACGTAGTCGGTGCACCAAGAGGCAGAGGATGACGAAAAACCTCTCGTCTTGAATTTTTCACGACTCGAGGGGGTCTGGGTCCCTCGCGCCTCCTCGGAGGAGGCAAGGGCGTGACACGCGGCGGCATACTTGCCCCCCCCTATCCCACCCGGCCGCCCGCCCGACCCGACCTGTCCGTTAGGGTCCGCCCGACCCGGCCCGATCCGTTCGTAGGGTCCACCTGCCCAGCCCGACCCGCCCGCTAGGGCTCGCGCGTGCGAACTCGATGGTGCGTCATACTTCAATGCCCCGCCCGCCCGACCCGACCCGCCCGTTAGGGCCCGCTCCCCCGAGCCGACCCGCCCGTGAGCGGACACCTTCTTCCTCGCTCCTCGGAGGATCGGGCCGAACGAAAGGGGGGGATAGGGGAGGGGGGGGTTACGAAATCTGCTGCGTGCAGCTGGTTTCGGCCCCGCCGCCGGGCCCATTCCTCAATGCATGGGCGCCTCCCGGCGCCGGGAGGCGCTGGGAAAATCGGCTACGTGAGCTGAGTCTCAAACCCCCCCTTTGCTATCCCCCCCTTTCGCCCAGCCCGATTCTTCGCTCCTCCTCGGAGAAGTGAAGGGGCCCTGGGACACACAAAGAAATCGACACGAATAACAGGATTCCCGTTTCTTCCCTATAACCTCCTGGGCTCTTGCCTTCCCCCCCCCGCTCCCCATGGGTTCCCTCATCTTCTGGGGCGTCGAGGATACCTTGTGCCTGTGTGCATTCTCCCCCTCCAGAAGGGGGCGAGGCCGTGACTCGCGGCGGCATCTTCGTGCCCCCCCCCGCACCACCCCGCCGGCCGCCGCGCCCCGCCGAGGCCGCGGCCGCCCTGGCCGCCCCCCGCCCGCGGGCCGCGGCGCCCCGGCGCCTGAGGACGGGCCCCCCCTCCTCCTCCTCCTCGTCCTCCTCCTCCTCCTCCTCCTCCTCCTCCTCCTCCTCCTCCTCCTCCTCCTCCTCCTTCCCGCTCCGCTCGTCGCTGGAGGGGGGGGGCGGGGCAGGAGGAGGCGTGTGAACAGGGGAACAAAGCGTGGCGTAAACATCAAAAACTCGGAGGTCCGCGCGGATTTCTCGGATCGGCGCTGGACCCCCCTCCCTGGCGCGCGGAGCGCGCCAGGGGCGGCGCCGGAGGCGCCGCCGGGGGGCCCCAGCGCCGATCATAGAAATCCGCGCGGACCTCCGAGTTTTTGTGTTTGTGTCACTTTTTGTTCCCTAGTGAAGCCCGCTCATATCCCTACTACATCATCACCTACCGCAGCTGTATCGGCTCAGGTGGCGGCACTGACACCGACAGCGCACCGCCCCCTGTGCAGTGCCCTGGAAAAGGAGTCCTCGTCCTGGACTCGACCTACGGAACCCGTATAGGAACGGCCCCTCGGCCGTTTCCCCGGGAACGATTATTTGCCTATTGTCCTGGTATCGCTCGGACGTGTGTATGTTTTTTCTCGGCGAGGACCCTGGAGGAGTATCCTGGACCATCGAGCGAAAAAACACGCACGAAACCAAACAATGCACGGGAGATGGACGTCCGAGCGACGGCAAGTTGTTGACCATCTTGGAATACTTGTTGGGGTACTTTTTGTATTTTTCGTCCCAGAATCCCCCTGTAGGGGGGGACAGGCCCGACCGAACTCCAGCAGAGCGGCGCACGCAGGCGTTCGCGCACGGCCCCCCCGCTCCTCGGGGGGGGGGGGGAGGAGCACGGGCTCCCTCCCTGCTCGCTCGCTCGGGCGGGGGGGGGAGGAGGGGCCTCCAGAGGAGCGGCGCCTGCGCTCGTGCACGGTAGGCCTCCCCCTCCTCCTCCTCCTCCTCCTCCTCCTCCTCCTCCTCCTCCTCCTCCTCCTCCTCCTCCTCCTCCTCTCCTCCTCCCTCCTCCTCCTCCTCCTCCTCCTCCTCCTCCTCCTCCTTCTCCTCCTCCTCACTCTCTCCCCCTCCTCCTTCTTCTCCTCCTGCGCGCGGCCTTGCTGTGCCCGCGATGCCGGCGAAGGCGTTCGAGGCTGAGTTTTGGCGACGCAGGGGCACCGAGGGACGGTCAGCCCGGCTGGACTCGACGGAAGTCAACCTTGCACGCTCGGGGCCGCGATCGGTTGAAGCTTGAGCGATCGCCGCGGTGTCAAAGTCTCGGTGCGCGCCGACGTCGCGCGAACCTACCGCACGGTCCCGTACCCGTTCCCGGTCCCTGTTCCTGTTTTTCTTCGCGGGCGTTGTCGGGCGAAGGCGGAGGCGGAGGGGGGCATGAGGGAGGAGGGAGAGGACAGAGAGGGGCGAGGACAAAGAGAAGGGTGAATAGTAGTCGTGCGGGCGAGCAGCGCGAGTGGTGGCTTGCATTCGTGAGGTCATCTAGCTTCTGCACCAGACAAGGTGTGCGATTCCTGGCCGCATCGAGCCAAAGACTGCACATCGCAGTTTCTCATTTGTGCCGTGGATTAGCGCATTTTCTTGGCGTGCCAGAGGACCCGTCGCACGCAGCTTCAACACGAGAGGTGCTATGTCGTGGTGTTGTCCGCTCCCTCTTCTCAGGAGGGGAAATAACACAGACCCAATTGATCGTCGACTCCCAGGAAAATATGGGAAAAGGATGGGAAGTGGGAGGGAAGACGAGAACCTAGAAAATGCGGGAAAATATAAGGAATCCTGGGATGTGTGTCTCTTTATTTGTGTGTCCCTGGGCCCCTCTGACTCTTTCATCTTCTCCTTCCAAAAGAACCGCTGGACCCACTAAAGTATCATCCACAGACGGGCACGTTCCAAGCCGCTACGGAACGCGGGAGCGAGGTTCCAAGATCCTCGCCCGCCTCTGCACAAGTCACGGCGGGAGGTGTAAGCAGCAAGCTTCGGCATCCTCACCAGGCCTCTGGACCGTCAAGGCACGTGTCGGCAGCTGGCCCCAGCGCGGAGATCGAGTCGTTGGGGGGCCCACGTTGGGGAACAATCACGTGGGTCCGTCTGGAATGATGGTCGCCACGGCTGGGCGCAAATTTGAAGAACGGCCGGGATGGACCACCCGGAGGGTGCGCAGAACCGATGTTGACAGTTGTTCTACGGGGGGGAGGGAACCGAGGTCCCAAAGCTCCAGCGGATTGGTTTGTCAATTTCCTGCATGTTCACTATATGTCAAGAGGGGAAAAAACACACAGCCACAATTCATCGTCGACCCCCAGGAAAATATGGGAAAATATGGGAAGTGGGGGGAAGAGAGAAACCCAGAAAATATGAGAAAATATGGGGAATAGGTTTATTTGTGTGTACTTAATTGTGTGTCCTGGGGCCCCTTCAGTATTGCAGGCTCCTGGGCCGTTCCTGGGCTCTGAGGCCGACAGAAAACGATCTGGCATGAAATAATTGGCCCCAGGAAGGCGTCGATCTGACAGCCACGGGCCAGGAAAGACACGACGTCGGAGGTCTGCTTGGTTTCGAGGGCTAGCGTTTTGTATGTGCCTGTCCCTTCTGGGAGTCTCTCCGCAGGGAGTGCCCTCCTCCCCCGCCTGCTTTCTGCGGCCGCCCTCTTCCTCCTTCCCTCTCTTGCTGCGGGTTGATTCGTACGCCGCGCGCCCCCGGCCTCTAGAGCGCGCGAGCGGATCGCCTCTGCCGCGCTGCGACGGGAAAAGTGTCCGTCCCTTCTTCCACCGTCCACCAAACCACTCCAACCCAACCCGAAGGCCCCAATTCGCCCTCCGTTCCCAGTGCGGGGGGGCCGGGGAGCCTTGAAAAAACACATGTGGAGCCCGCACCCCTCCCCAAGCCCAGATTCGGGTCTTCGGGTTGGGATGGGGTGGTCTGGTAGGTAGGCATTCTTGGGCTTCCAGGGGCCTCCAGGCGTTCCTGGGGGCCTCCGAAGGGGACCTCCAGAGGCTTCCTCTCTGGAGCTCCAGAGTCAGGAGGGGAAAAGACACACAGACACAATCCATCGCCCGCTCCCAGGAAAAGATGGGAACATATGGGAAGGGGGGGGGGAAGACGAGAACCCGAAAGATTTTGGGAAAGTGTGGGGAGTAGTTTTATCTGTGTGCATTTATCTCTGTGCCCTGGGGCCCCCTTCGCAGAGAGGGGGCCTCTGGAGGCGGGCCCTGCGGAGAGGAGGCCTCTGGGGAGGCGGGGGGGCGCCGCGCTGCTGCCCGCGGCCTCGGCCGGGGATCCGGAGAGCAGGAGTGGGAGCCCGCGGACCGCTTGGCATGGCCCCGTCGAGGGGGCGAGAGGCGCCGGCTCTTGCCCCCCCTTCCTCCGCCCGCGAGCCCGCCCCGTCCAGCCAGTGGGAAATCACTGTCTTGTCACATGGGGGGTAGCGCTCCTCCCCCTCCTCCTCCTCCTCCTCCTCCCTCCTCCTCCTCCTCCTCCTCCTCCTCCTCCTCCTCCTCCTCCTCCTCCTCCTCCTCCTCCTCCTCCTCCTCCTCCTCCTCCTCCTCCTCCTCCTCCTGCCCCGAGGGGGCCCCTCCCGTAGGGGAGGGGTCGGGACCCTAGGGTCCTCCTGGCGCAGGCGGGGAGCGCCGAGCCCGAGGGGCGAAAAGCCCCCGCTCCCCGGGGGACGCCGCCAAAGTGCGGTTTCCTTCCCCCGGGGGGGTCGCCAGGTCCCGTGGCCTCCCCCAGGGCGGTGCTGGTTCCCCCCAGCGTTCGCCGCCCTGGGGCGGGACCGGTGGCTCGTCTCTGTCGTGTCGTTCGTCCGTGTCTTGTCTTCGTGTCGTGTCGTTCGTTTCGTCCCTCTGTCGTGTCGCGTCGTGTCGTGTCGTGGCGGGCCGGGCCCCTGGGGTGGGTGGCGTGGGTTTGGCTTGGACTGGCCCCCCCCCGTTCTGTCGGCTGCCGGGTGTTTCCGGCGTGGCCGTTTCCGGCCGACAGAACGAGGGGGGGGAGCTCTCCACCTATTCCCATGCTGCCCGCTTGCGGGGGGCCTGCTGGCGCCGTGCGCCACCCGCCGCCGTGAGCGCCCCGCGGCTGGCCGCGCGCCCGCGCGCGGGCGCCCGCCGGCCGCGGTGTCTCGCGGCTTTAGTGCTGTGCACTCCCCCTTTCGAGGGCATTCCAATCCAATCCAATCCAATCCAATCCAATCCAATCCAATCCAATCCAATCCAATCCAATCCTCCTCCTCCTCCTCCTCCTCCTCCTCCTCC